AGTGTCTTGGATATCACAATCACAGACAAAGCCATCCCCTTACTTCTCTGACTGATTCCCCTCAGTCAAGCACCTTACATCGCTCCAATCTTTCCCTCAAAATTCTCCTCATTTACCGCCCCCATTTTGACGTGGATCATATCAAAACGTACTGCTCCACCCTCACCATTTCATCTCCTTTAACTCCTCAATCCCTCTCCCCACTGCCATGCAACCCACCTCTGTCTCTTATCGCCACTAGAAAAAAATCTATCCGCAATCCCTCTCTGCTGCATTGAAATCATCTGAACTCCTTCCCCTCTGGCCTATCTCCCGCACTGATTTATCCTCCTCACTGACTTTCCTCCACAGCTCCCTCTCCACCAATCTAGATGCCCTTGCCCACCTCACCTCCCAAACCGCCTCCTCCTCACGAATTTCACTTGGTACACCAGCCACCTCCACTCCCTCAAGTGTCAGGTGCGGGCTGCCGAATGCACCTCGCTCAAATCTGATGTAATGGTCCACCAGCAGATCTGGCTGGATCACATCAAAACGTACCACTCCACCCTCACCTCTGCCGAATCGTCCTTCTTCTCCAAGATAACCTTGGAGGCGAAGCACAACCCCAGGCTCGTCTTCTCCACTACCAACCGGCTCCTCCGTCCACCCGCTCACACCTCACCCATTCTCTCCTCAAACTCTGTTTGTGAGGAGATGCTGGATTTCCTTGAGTCCAAAATGGAGGCGATCTGATCAGCTGTCTCTGCCCTCCCAACCGCAACTTCCTCCCCATCTCCCCCTCACACTCCCATCCCTCCCTGAACATCTTCGCACCTGTCTCCCCGTCCTCTTTCATCACCACCATATCCAGCATGAAACACACCACCTGCTCCATTGACCCCATCCCCACCCCTCTCCTTAGCTCCCACCTCCACCTCCTTGCCCCTCAACTCTCTGACACCATCAATCTCTCCCTCCAAAAAACAGCTATGATTATCTCAACCCTGAAAAAAACTTCCCTGGACTCATCCCTGCTTTCTAACCATTGGCCCATCTCCAACTTCCCTCTTTATTCCAAGATCCTTGAAAGAGTCGTTGCTTCCCAGCTTCGCTCCTTCCTCTCCTACCATTCCCTTCATGAGCCCCTCCAATCAGGTTTCTGTGCTGCTCACAGCAGGGAAGCTGCTCTAGTCAGGTGACAAATGACATCCTTCGATACCATGGACCACTCCATCCTCCTCCACCGCCTCTCCTCTCACCTCAACCTTCAAGGTTCTGCCCTTGAATGGTTCAGGCCTTATCTTTCACCCTGTCTCCAATTTGTCTCCGCCAATGGTTTCTCTTCCATCTCCCACACAGTCTCATGCAGTGTTCCTCAGGGATCTTTCCTTGGTCCCCTCCTCTTCAACCTCTACATGCTCCTTCTTGGTGACGTCATGCGCAAACATGAGGTCAACTTCCACATGTATGCAGATGACCTCCAACTCTATCTCTGCCTCCACCCTCAATTCCAGGACAACTGACATCCTGAAAAACTGTCTGTCAGACATCAACACCTGAATGAGAGCCAACTTTCTACAGCTGAATGTCAGCAAGACCAAGGCCATCCTGATTGGCTCACGTCAGCGCCTCCGCACCTCAGGCACTGACAGCATCAGCATCCAGAGATACACACTCAACCTCACCAAATCAGTCAGGAACCTGGGCGTCTTGTTTGACCATCAACTGTCCTTTCTTCCCCATATCCGTGCCATGACCCGCTATGCCTTCCCCCATCTCCGCAACATTGCCCGACTCCATCACTGCCTCACCCCTCATACAGCATTCTTCACCTCAAGGCTCAACTATGGAAACTCCCTCTTTGTCGGCCTCTCCAATTCTTCCCTCCACAAGCAGCAAATCATCCAGAATTCTGCAGCTCGTGTCCACTCCCACACCAGGCTCCGTGACCCCATCACTCCCACCCTTGCTCGACTCCACTGGCTCCTCATCCCTCTGAAGATAGAATTCAAAATCCTCATCCTCACTTTCAAGGCCCTCCACAGCCTTGCCACCTCCTACCTCTCTAACCTGCTGATGCCCTATCAACCTATCTGCTCCCTCGATTCGGCAGGCTCTGGCCTGCTCCATGTCTCCCGCCCGACCTGCACTACCATCGGTGTCCGGGCTTTCAGCCTCGCTGCCCCCACCCTTAGGAACGCCATCCCACAATCCCTTAGCCTTGCTCCTCCTTAGCCTCCTTCAAGGCACGACTCAAGACCCTCCTTTTCAACCGTGCCTTCAGCACCCAGCTACAACAGGAACAACAACTTGGATTTATATAGCATCCTCCATGCCGGACGGCGTCTCAGAGCTCTTCAGTTACGGATCTCGGGGCCTACCTTCTCTGCACTCCCTCATCCCAACCCTGCTCCCCCACTCTCGGGTCCTGATCCCTGACTGTTCAGCGCCTTGGGATGTTCTCCCGACGTGAAAGGCGCTTTACAAATGTAATGTTGTTGTCGTTTCTTATTTTCTTATTCTCTTAAAATTACTTCTCTGCTCTACTTTTTTTTAATTCATTCACATCTTGTGACTTTTTTTTAGCAAGGCAAAGATTGAGGCCAAAAATTAATACCAGCCATAGGTGCAGTAATTAGAAATTTTTAATTAAATTAAAAAAAACTACTATTAGAGGTTTGCAGTGGACACAATTCTCCAGAAATGTGATGTCTCAAGCTATTAGTTGTAGAGTAACATATTTCAAAAATATATACAGTATTAACCATGGGAATGAAGGTTCACACAATATTACCTGTGTTTAGGCTGAATTCAGATTTTAAAGCTAAGACAGAATTAAATATGAATTATATGAAATTACTATTTCTCCCAATTTTTAGTCCCGTGTTTATGTGTCTTGTATCCAGGTTAAAATTAACTATTTTAAAATTTTAAATCTAAAACAGAATGAAGAATGATGTGAAATGATGAATTGTGGAAGTATGTATTTTTAATAACTCTTATTTTCATTTCCCATCACCTCAGTTTATCTAGCAGTAAGTAAGAACCCGGTTGTTAGTCGATTGGCAGATCACTTTTCCGCCCACAAATATAGTCAATTCACTTTACAGTATATTCCGTTAAGTGCTATGAGACAAATACGTCGTAAGGCACTATATCAAATGCAAGGATTATTATTATTATTATCACTCTATACCCAGTTTCCCTGACTAACCAGGTACCTTCAGATATTTATTTGCTAAGAGTTGGATGAGACAGTTTGAGTGGATTCCTATATTTTTCCTCCCTCTAGCCAGCCTGCTTGATATTCAAAATTTGCCTGAGATATGAAGTTGCAGTCCATCATTTTGCTGCCCATTACACTGCTCTGTTCAATATTTATTCACTTACTACCTCTGTGTACCTTTAATTGTGTGTGTAAAAAAAATTCCAGCTATTCTATGTATAACAATTCATCCTTAAAATAAGTGAGTTCCTCAGGTAGTTTGCTACCTAAAACGGACCACCCAGTGCAGCTCTAAGCCTCAATATCCAAGTTGCACTGAGTAGCTGATCTCAACAGGGGCAGCAGTTGGTGAACTACAAGTAGCCTCAGTCCCTCTGGGTTAGGGAGGGAAAAGTCAGCCAGGGTTCGTACCCCAGGTTGATATCCAGACATCATGCTGGAGAGGAGGATGTGATCATATGGATGGAAGGGTTTTCTTCATCCAAAACTCTTTTGACTCACATGAAACATGATTATGTTTAGCTGTACTCTCTCTCCCCCCACCCCCATCTCCAGTTGAATAGACTGCGAACACTCAGTATTAAGTTTGATACATGAACAATGAGTTTCTTGGGCAATGTACCAAAGTACATCTGGTCCATGTAGAGCCATACTCCAGTAAAAGGAATTAAATGGCTTCAGTAGAGGTGAAGGAGAACAGATAAAATCGATGATTTTTTTTTAATAAAAGGTAAATGACTAATTTGAAATCATAATATTGTGAATAATGCAATGTTTACATTGTTATTCCTGATCCCAAATTAAGCTTCCTGAATTCTTCTTTACACATAAATGTTTTATTCCTTAAGAATGCTATAGTAAGCTCCTGATAACATGACACTGGCTTAACTAGTCACTACCACTTAAGTAGCTGTGCTGTCAACATCCCAGCTGCTTCCAATATTAAATATTAATAACTAGTTTTATTCTAAAAATTCTTGTAAATACTTACATAGGATAATGCATCCTGTAAGATAGCATATTGCATCACAGATGCCTCCTGCCCCTTTCCTGTGACTGGCTCAGATGCTCGGTGGAGTTGTGTGGAGGTTTGGTTTTCACGCTCAGCTATCTAGCTACTCTGGATAACTAGTCGTTGAGCACTTTTCCCTTTCATTGATGAGTTATCAGGAGTTTACTGTATATTCTTAGGTGTCAGCCTGGCTCACCTGGTAGCACTCTCAACCCTGAGTCAGAAGGTTGTGGGTTCAGGCTCCAGGGCAAGACTCTAAACTCAAAAGTACAGGCTGACCCTCCAGTGCACTGCTGGGAGGGTGCTGCATTGTGGCGAGGTGCCAACCTTCAGATGAGGCATTAAAGTGAAGCCCTCCCTGTCTATTTGTCTTTCTGTTGAGGTGGATGTTAAAAGATCCCATGGCACTATTTAAAAAAAAATAGAACGCCCCTGTGATCCTGGTCAACATTTCTCTGAATAAAATCGTTCATTCACTTCATAGCTGTTTGTGGGACATTGTTGTGCGTCACATCCACCCAAAAATAGTCACTACACTTTACAGATCCTGTGAAGCACTTTGAAACATGCTCCAGATGTGAAAGGGCCATATCAAATGCAAGGATTATTATTCAGCACTCAATAAGGAACTATTACATCTGCATGTCTGAAAAAAATGCAAAGCATTACAATATATTAAAGAAACGTTATTTAATGGCTTTAAAGTAAATAACACATTCCCAAAGGGAAAATTCACATGAGCTACAATAGTAACAACATAAACACTTTTGACATAGAGGGACTTTTAAATAAACATTTTTAAAAATCCCTGTTTACAGTTTTTCAAGTTATTGTACTAAGCATGACAGCTAAACACATCATTTTACAGTATAATACACTTACAAAAAACAAGCCTGTTATAATTTGCTATAACATACATAAAACAGTAACATTAGGGAAGACGTTCCATGAACGATTGCTTGGTAAGAAACTTTTTACAATATAAACACCACATCTGGATGAGTTTAACAGCAACCAGAGAAAATCACTTTTTTTCGTTTGTTGTTATTTTAGCAGTGCAAACATATTTGTACAAGGCAGTCCTGGCTGCTCTATTCCTTCTTCTTGAAGAAAAAATATTGTTTGCATTTGTACTCACTAAATTCATACAATTACAATTCAGTCATTTACAGGAAAAATACCTATCATTATCCTTTTGAGTTCAGTCTTTAAAAATAGACTAACCTTTGAATGCAAACTCCTCATAGAGATATCTGATAGAAGAAGTTAATCTTTTTTTCACGTGCTGGCACATTTCAAAACAACACATGAATTAAAATGAACATATATGGAAGCTAGTTTGGAACCCACGCTTCAAGGAATTAAAGCACCAGCGTAAAAATTCACAAGCAAGTTTGGTGAGAGCTTATTTATAAGATGGTAACAAAGAGAGGGAAAAGAAAGGGAATCATGCTACATCACCCTCACTGTTACCATTTTATTAAAGCTGTGGAGGTAGTTATGTGCAATGATGAACAATATGTTGACTTAATGAAAAAATGTTTTGTGTACATTTAAGATCATTCAAATCTCTCATTGCCATAGAAACAGTATCAAAGACATTTGCAATGTTTTGTCCTACTATGGATTGCAATAAATCAGGCACACACACATTTTGTAAACATATATACATTTATACTAGTTTGCTTGTTTTGTCGCTATGTAATTCTATGTAATCTCATATTTACACCATTTATTGAAACCAAATCAAATTTCAAATCATTTATCAATGGGTGTGTTAATAGTTTTGCATCAATAGAAATTACTTAATTTGAAAGTAAGGTTAACCAAATGATAAGCGTGTTCCAGTGCTATTGTCACAATAAGCATCTGCTGGATGTTGAATATTGGAAACTGTACATTCACAAAGGGGCAGATATTAACCAGTTTTAGTGCCATGATAATAGCAGTGTGCCTCCAGGTAATAATAAAATTATGCCAAATATCCACCAAAAACAGATTCTTGCCTGTCGTAGGACAAGACAAAATGAGATGATTAGTCCCTTTTTTAAAAAAAATGTATAAATATAACACATCTAAAGGACTGGCTCCATACTCACTACTATTCCAAATACCTAGATTTGTACAAAATTGGCTTAACTGGTGCATCAGAAGCCTAATAGATAGCTCAGTTGGTTAAGCCACTCCTAAAGAGATCTGCGATACAGATGGGAAGGTTGTAGGTTTGATCCCCAGTCTGTGCTGCGTTGGGCTGCTCTCGATTAGGGCAGCAATAGGGATGTTACTGTTGGTCTCAGGTTACTTGGGTTACAAGACAGAAAAAGTGCCTAGGATTTGCACTTCTGACTGTTATCCAGCAGCTTCTACTGGAATCAGTGCTTGTATGTTTTGGGGTGATGTTAGAGTCAGGTTTGACTGTGATGCCCCTGCCCTAGTTTAAATATCCTGCAGACTCATAGATGCGGAATGGCCACAAGAGCTGCTGTTCTGTACAAACATACTCCAGCATCAGCATCTGAGGGTCGGAAGAGACTGAAGGGAGGAATGGGACAGGAAATGTTTATTTAAAAAAAAATCACACAAAATAAAGAGTAATTAATATTTAATGGCATCCCAAAACACAAAGGCACTAATGGATATAAAACATGGAGTTACCTTTCAGCAAAAAGAGAGGAACCTAGTGGCATGCTAGCACCAATGTTAGTTACATGCATAACACTGGGCCCTGGTCACTGTAAAAANTAGCCTTGTGCTGTAATACTCTTCTATCAGTAACATAATATGGTAACGTACGTTTCAATTACTACAGAAAGGTCGGTAATAATGTGCTCACTGACACTGCATGATCAACAGTGACAGCTCAGACACCAATATCCAAGAAATTTAAAACCTTTACAATTTTATGCACTGGTTATGTTGGTTAGGAGGAAGCTATTGTTGGCAACATAATCAAAGTGTACAGGTGATGTGTGTTATCCCGCTCAAACTTTGCTCACTTGGTTTATATTGTAGTCAAAATGCTTCAGTTACACTGCCTTGTAATAACAATATCTATTTTCCATGTAACAAACTGTTTTCAAGATAGAGTTTCTTATTCAAGAGCATTTCCTCTGAAGCACATTGGTACACATAAACAGACTCTTATCAGGTAGATATAATTGGTATACAGTTGCTATAATACTTGAAACAATTTTCCCTATGAATTGCTCTTATAGACAGTAGTTAGGGCTACTGAAATAGTGACAAAAATAACCAAATGTGCAAGCTTATAGATTGTACAACTAACAAAACTCAAATACCATTTTATCTTTCAATAGTGCAACAGAATCTGTTGGTACCACATCACTTTATTATCGACAACAATTGTTCTTAGAAAAAAAACGGACATTAGAATTGAAGATAATATCTTCAGTGTTTAGACTGTGACAGAAATGTGCTCATCCAGATTTTAATGCGTGCACTAGCTTTGCAAAATTACTGTGGTGCATTTTGCTGGCTTGATGTTCTAAAGAAGATCATTTCTAAACATGGAAGTTTTGGTAGAATATCATCAAGAAACCAAAGCCATGAAGTGCAAAACAGTTTGTGCTTTTTCTTCTTTACCAAACCCACAATGGACGTTCATGCAGTATGGTGCAGTTATGGTGTTGGCGAATGCCATGCAGTAAGTTGCATTACCCACTCAATACCTAAAGGATGAAGAAGTAAAATTGATAAGTACATACGATTATTCTTTTAATACAGCTCCAATTCATAGAAATGGCTCTAAATTCAGTTTCACTGTCACTTATGTGTGAGCAAAGCTGATGGTCTCAATACGTTTCAAATGGTAACTGAAGTATAGGTGCGTGATTGGTTGTTGAGTCTATGATATGGAATCTGTCACTGACAGCTACTACTGACAGTGGTCAAACACTGGTAACAGAAGCTAAACACTTCAAGGGCTCTTGTAGGTTTTCAGGTTCACTTGGCGCAGAATCGGTAGTTGCTCGGAAACTGAATGCTGCCGTGCCTCCATGTCCTGGACTAAGAGCAGGGTTCTGACGCCTGTTGCTTTCTAATAGGCTCGAGGTGTTAGAGGCCAGACTTTCACGAGTACTGAAACACAGTATGGGTGGAAAAACATTAATGCTTCCAGACACTAATGCCATAACATTAATCCTTCACAACCTTTGGGCAACAATACTCAAAGAGGCCATAAGCATAGGGGGTTAAGTAATCTTTATATCAGATGGTGCAGTACAGGGTGCTCTTCTGAGAGTTTGATGGGGAAAGGATGGGTGGAGGCACATTGTGTGGGACACAACTCAGCATCACATCTGATCTGATTACACTGGTGTGATGGTATTACTTGGTACAATATAAAAAATAATTGCATTTCTGGATATTATAATCCATCATTAACAACCCATTATCAATCCGTAGAATTGCTGTCTAACTGTAAACTGTATTTTAACACTATCAAGACATAATCGCAAAATATAATGACTTTGAATTATGCAGAATGGGAGGTACTTTTATTCACGAGACCATCAGAGGAGCTTACATACAGTTTAAAAAATCTTTTTTTGGTATATATTTTAGAAATTTAATATCTCAATATTAAAACTCTCCTAATGCTCGGGGTACTGCTGTTCTATTAGTGTTCTCAGTTGTCTCTCAAAGCATGGGCTGAAAACTCATAGAACCAGTCAGCAGGAGTGTGAAATTCCAGCTCATTTAAACGTATAAGACCAGATTGCCTTAAAATTGAACATCGTCCAGAATTGTTGAAAATTCTTAAAATTCAGTCTTAATTTGGAAGACAGTTCTTTATGTAAATAAAAACTGCAGCAAACTTGTCTCCAAAATAAGATTGAATATGAGCATATTATACAATTCAATACAACCTTACATTTTAAAAGAAAATGTTTTTATGGGTGCAGTTTCAGGCCTCAGGTACACGAGCTCCCCTGAAACTGACAATATCCGAAAGTTAACAAGATATTTTAGCAACTATTTATACATGAAAAACATAAATTAGAACAAAGGGCATTAGACGCCCCAACATTTTGGAAACAGTCATTTGGAAACCAATTCTTTTGTAGTTCTTTTGGTGCTGAGAAAAATCAGCTTCCAAATTCAGACTGAATTTGAGGGGATTTCCCAAAATTCTGTTTGATCTCAAATTTTAAGACAATGTTCTTTTCACAAGATCACATGATTGGTCTGGATGAAGGCCCTTCAGCCCATTCTATCTCATCCCTCCAAAACACCTACCTTATCGCATCCCACATCACTGCATCAAGCTGCTTTCTAAATGAGCCCAGTGCACTGTATCACTTTTACTGGCAACCTGTTCTGGCTGATGATTACCGTTGATATAAAGAAAACTTCCTGGTATCTGTCCTGAAATTGCCCTTTACGATTCTACTGTACTCTTGTTCTACTGTCTTGATGCATCCTAAAGTATTAATCTGGGCTTACTTTTTCATCCTATTTACAATTTCATACACCTCTATGAGGTCCCTTCTGAGTCATCTTCTCTCAAGACTGAAGAACCCAGCTTGTCTAATTGTTGCTCAGTTGCTTATGAATGAGAGAAATTTGAGTGCTCCTATTCCACATGTGGAAAACTCACAGTGACCAAGACAGATCTTCAGTGAACAAATGTTAAATTCGATTTCTACCTTAAGAAATTTACAATGGATTGATGACTTATCTCACGTAATCAATCCACTGTGAATTTCTCAAGGTGGAAATCGACATTATTAAACTGTCACAATCAAGATTTTCTCCAAGTCCCATAGCTGCTTACTGATTTAAGGTCTCTTCTGGTGCTTCAAACAATCTATTCTTCTTGTTAACTTTCTTTTTTATGAATAATAATAGGTTATATTCATGTGTTTATCTGTAAATGGTATAAAGTGTTCATTATTCCAAAGAAAATGAACAAATATGCAATGCACAGTAATCTGGGGCAAGATTTTGTACTAAACTAAATCACTGCAAAAACGGATTTCTAAATTCTACAGATGTAAGATGACAATGCATCAATTAATTTTTGAAGTCTAGCATCTGCTTTGAGATTTTCTGTCTAATTATAGCCTGAAAGAATTTTAAGTCATAAATTCAATTACACTGAATTTACCACTTGTTTGCTTACCGAGGAGAATTAAATCCACTGTCTACTGTTATACTGCTGCTGTCCATGCTATCTAGTCGAGCAGTGTGCGTAGTTTTCTGGCTGGTATTGTTATCACCTTCCTTGGGGAGAGTTAGATTCTTCTCAAACTTTCTCTGGAGGCTCTTCTCTTTCTCTCGTTCTAGGAGCCACTGTACAGTTCCACCGTCCTCTCGGTTCTTAGCCTCCTCTTGTTTTTTGTTCGTCCCATCTTCAGACTCATCATCAGAAACATTGTAATAGTCAAAGGAGGATTCTTGGTTCACTGGCTCTTCTTGTCCCTGTGACACAGGCATTAATTGCGTCCCAGCGGTGAGGCCAACACACTCGAGGTTCTCAAGGTTTGTGTGGAGCACCTCAGAAGGGTTCTTGTGTTGTGATTCATACAATGAAATCCCAGATGATTCCTGGTAACTGTTCTCCACATACTTTCCAGGCAGAATTTCAGAATGTGGTTTGAAGACTTCTCCATTCGGCAATGACAGTGTGGATGCTTGCCCAGCTCCAGGCAGACTAATGTTGGTGTCCACTTTTTCAGGATAATGGCTCTGTTGGAGTGACAATTGCTCAAGCTGTCCATTCACATTTTCTTCAATAGGAGAGTGTTTGGAGAACCTGTCCAAAGGGGACAGATTTTTAACTCCATCTGACAAGGTCAAATTTTCATAGCCCTTGAACAGATGCTCATCATTACATCCAGTTGATGGAGAAGACGCAGTCAAAATACCCTCCTTAGATGTATTACACTGAAAGTAATCAGCAGCTGCTGGGTCTGTTGCGCAACAGTTGGGTTCACTGAATTTGGACAAACCCTCTTCAACTGTAATGTGTTCAAGTGGATTGCAAGGATCAGCAGGACCTGGTGTACTGTTATCAATATCAACGCACTCAGGTATACATGGCTCTGTAATATGATTTGAATGTGATGGCAGTCCTGATCTGTGATAACTGAGTAATTTGGAAGAACGTAATTTACTGTCTTCATTAGTGGAATGGCTTTCCTCCAAGCCGCGTCCTTTCATCTCTTCAGGCGTACCTAACAAGGCAGCACCAAGAGGTCTTTTCGAATTATCCATAGACCTGGATCTCTCCTTAGCTTTACTGCTCCTATCATTTCTTGATTTTCTGTCTTGAGTATGGCTGTGGCTCCGATGAACCTTGGACTGTAAACTCTCTCTCGAATGTTCATGAAATCGACTCTCCATCCTTCTCTTATATAGATCCCCAGACACATCCCACTCTGGCGTCACAGGAAAGTGGGATTCAACCATATTTATTTTATCATGTGTTATAAACTCATTATCGCCTTTTAGTTCTATAGTGGCACTTTTTTCACACGGTGATCTAGTTACTGGATCATAAAATTCATATTCCCTTGATTCTGGTACATCTAAGTGGGTATCTTCTGAGTGTTCCCCTTTAGGAACCCTAGACTTGCTATGTGATCGGGATTTACCATGGGATTTTTTGTGACTTCTACTCTTTTTGCTCTTGCCACTGTGCTGTGCGGAGGAACCTGCTTTATTCCTTTGGGCTTTGTCCTCTTCAAGTTTCTTCATCAGCGCTGTGTGTTTCAAGACGTTTTCTACAGTCAGGTCAGGATTGATGCGTTTAATTAACTCCTGTTCTACCTCCCTTGGTATGGAAGTCGGATTATCTTCATCACGCAATGGCCATTCCTCTGGGGGAAACTGGGCAGAAAAATTCACCAACTGCTTTGATTTGTCCTTTTTAAAACTTAACCTGAATAGTTTCAGGCCAAATTTTTTAGATTGCTTTTCTCCATCTTTGTGTTTCGGCAGCGTTTCGGTTTTGTACGAACAATTCACAGTACTTTTACTTTTCTCTGTGTGGGTTGCTGGCATCAGATTGAAAGAAGGAGGGCAAACAGAGTCCTTACATTCCTTTGTTGATTTTTTCTGAAGAGTGGATGTATGATTATGAAATTCTTCTCTAAAGCAATTGCAAGAGTCACAGTGGTTTCTATGGTGCGCTCTGTCTCTGACACAGCCAGAGGTGGACGGAGTGATAGACCCTGGCTGTGGTGACGTACATTGAGACCGATCAGGTATCCTTTCATCCAGATGGTACCATTTGCTATTTGTTCTTATGAGTGAAGGTGTAATAAAATAAGTCTGTGGGGTCACGATAAAATAACCATCAGGAGTTGGGTAAATTTTACGCTCTCTCACAAGCATGTTCAATGTGTGCCGCAGAATTTCTTGACTGGGTGTGGGAACCCCTATAGAAAGAAATACAAACATGTTACATATAATTAAAATGCACTTCTCTTTAATGGTTTACAAATATATTTACCTGCTGGTGCTTCTATCCAAATTATTTAGTTTCTGTTATTTGTAAAAGTCCTAATGAAAACAAACTTCAAGATCAGTGTTACACAAATGGTTAATATCTCTCAAACTACAATAACAACAAGATTACATTTGTATAGTGCCTTTCACGTCGGGAGGACGTCCCAAGGCGCTGGACAGTGTACAGCATTTCAGACAGCTAAGGAAAGAACAGCTAAGAAAAGAAAGCCGGAAATCCAACTATTAATAATCAGACAAAAAGCATCAGGAAACTGGCTTGTCAGAGTGGTATCTTTGTATTCAATACAAATCCAAGTCTGTGAGCCAGAACTTATACAGTCATTGTGCCTGGAACTGAATATGGCAGCTAAATATCTAAGTCTTCATTTCTCAGTTAGGTCATTGGGATTCTTCAGTACAGACAAAAATGGGCACTCCATCTGTCTTGCCCTGGGTTAAGAGTGCCTCCTGTCGGATGAGACGCATGCCATTATTGATAACGAAAATCAGAAAGATATTCCTATTCTGTGCTGTTTTCCATTGAAAGGGTGACGTGTTTGGATGACTGACTTTGCTGATGTAGGATGTGAGTTAAAAATGAAGAAATTGTTTGGTAAAGTATATATTCAAACCAGTTTCTGGCATGTTCAACACAGCTCACGGGCGCTTCAGCTCATTCTGCCATTAAATGGGGTCATATAGGAAGCTTCTCATAAGACAAATCCTGACCGTGCCACCAGGATAAAGGACCCATCAGAAGGCAGGGGAGAGAAAATCTGCCGATCAGTCAATCTAAGTACACCTGTACTCATCGTGCCTGTGCCGGCTCTTTGAAAGAGCTATCCAACTAGTCCCACTACCCTGCTCTTACCACATGGGCCTGTAATTGTTTCCTTTTCAAATACCTATCCAATTCCTTTTTGAAAGATAATATCAAATCTGCTTCTGCCACCCTTTCAGGCAGTGCATTCCAGATAGTAACAACTCGCTGGGGGAAAAAAATTCCTCATTGAGAGAGAGAGAGATAGAGAGAAACAGTAAGAGAGAGAAGGGCTGACACAGTGTCGTACCATAATGACAGTATAAATTTAGTTTCCAAATAATTTTCCTAATTTTCTCCCCATTGACATATGCTTCTACTACCAGCTTCCTCATCCAGGGAAAAGGTTACACAAGCATTAGTTATCCTCCAGTACCACACCCAGGTAGCCTGGATTCATGTGCAGTGAGTGTGAGCAGGCTTCACAGCCAAGACAAACATTTCCTCACCTGGCTGCCTCATGTAAGCACAAACAGTTGGAGGGAGTTGAAGGAACCTGGCTGGCTTTTCCCTCCCTAACCCTGCGATGGAAAGGGCAATTTAGCCTCCCAATGCTACCCTGGAGTCCTGTAGCTCAGTGGTTAGAGCACTCACTTTGCAAGTGATAGACCTGGGTTTGGTTCCCGGCAGGGTGAAACCTTGGGCAAGTTTCCTTACTCCACACGCCTGATAATAAGCCCTCAAGAAAAAAACCAATAATAAATTAGTCACTTCAATCCATGACTGTTTTTGGGACACTGCTGTGCGCAATTGGCTGCTGCGTTTCACCCACAAATATACAGTCAATTCACTTTACAGTATATTCTGTGAAGCGCTTTGAGATGTCTAGAAGACATGATAAGGCTCTATATCAAATGCAAGGATTATTATTATTAGCCTGGATAAGACCAGTAAAGTAAGCAAGGTCTAGGATTTGAAGCAGTGAGCTCCCAGTCCATGAGCTCCTATTCCATTCCTACAACAACTTGCATTTATATAGCGCCCCTCACGCAGTGTAGCGTCCCAGAGTGCTTGATAGTGGTGGAGAATGATGACGAGCCGGGGGGAGGTGACCATAGGCATGATCGAAGAGGAAGATCTTCAGGTGTGATCTGAAGATGGGGAAGGAAAGGGTAAGGCAGAGGGATAGAGGAAGAGTGTTTTGGGGTATAGTGGCTAAAAGCGCAGCCACCAATGGTGGAACGGAGGCATAATGGACGTGCTAGTCGAGCGGAGGCACGGTGTTGTGGGTTGGGGAGAAAGCAGGTCGGAGAAGTAGGGAGATGCCAGAGCAAGAAAGTATTTGGTAACGAGTGTGAGGTTCTTGAAATTGATCCGTTCAGTGATAGGGAGCCAGTGCAGCCTGGCTAGAACTGGTGTGATGGGAGTATGAAGTTTAGTACAGGTGAATATGCGGTCGGTGGAGTTTTATATCAGCTGGATTTTGTGGACGGTGGAGCTGGAGAGACCGGCGAAGAGGGCATTTGAATAGTCAGGGCGAGGTGACCGTAGGCACGGTCAAAGAGGAAGGTCTTTAGGTAAGATCTGAAGATGGGGAAGGAAGGGGCAAGACGAAGAGATAGCAGAAGAGAATTGAAGCTACCAATAGTAGACTTTTGAAGTTAGTACTGGGACCAATAGGAATTTGTGTCATGTCCACCATTGTCTTATCCACAATAGGGCCATTTCACCCACAAAATATACAGTCAATTCACTTTACAGTAAATTATGTGAAGTGTTTTGAGGCGTCTTGAAGATGTCATAGCACGCTATATCAAATGCAAGTATTATTATTCCCAATTAGTTTAGATAATAAGTTCTATACTGTAGAAAGATTTATCAAAGATTATTCATTTTGACAATTAATTTATGAATAGACCCCCAATATTTGATTATTTTACACTTCCTTGGAAAGTTTTATAAATTATAGACTACAAACTGTTCTTTGAGATACCAATGAGTAAGAGAGAGAACATTTGCAACATTCAATAAATTTATGACAATAATTTTGATAATTATGTTAATTGTGAAAATTATACATTTCGCCCACAAAATACACAATATTATATCCTGTGAAGCGCTTTAAGACGTACCAATGGTGTGATAAGGCACTCTATCAAACCAAGGATTATTATTATTAATTAACAACGTTTCCTGCTCAACATCATGACCTAAAATCTCACTGGGAAAACATGGGATAAAACTATTTCTGGGATGGGGAAAAAATGCATTTTGCCACACTTCACTAGATCTTGCTCAGAAAATAACTATTAAATCAAAACAAATATTTACATACTTTCTAAAAACTTCAGGAACTTGAAACAAAAAACTGCTCATCAAACACATGGCAGCAACGAAAGCTAAAGACAGCACGTGTGGGGGGAGGAAGAGGAGGAGACAAGACAGTGACACCTTATGGCTATTCAGTGAAATACATCAAGCTTAGTTTGAATTTAGCAATATTCACATTAACAGCATAAATTACATAATGTTCAATGCGAGTGGTGTTAATTATCATTGTGATTTTAATTATTAATCATGTGTTAGCAGATAAATTCCCTTATTACTTGGGTTCTTTAAGGTTCTTCCTGTTATAGCTTCATTTTTGAAACCAACCAGGTTTGCTTCACAAAGTTAATTTGTACTAAGTCTGCCTTTAACTTTTATATGTAAACAGTACGTTTTAATACAGATTAAATTGCCTCAAAGGGAAGCACATCTTTTCATTCTGTTCAAACCTGCTGCAACTATTCTGATCTGTGTGCTTCAGGCAGAGAACTCATTAATGTGGCGAACTGCTATTCTGCTTGGTAAGTTTTACAAATTTGTCCCTGTGCATTTTGAATCAACTGCAATTGTACATGCATAATTGAATTTTGCATTCATAATGCTATTCATAAATTACAATTTCAGTGACTGATTTATAAAAATGTACCAAATAGAGCAGAATAGCTCTCAAACCACATCAATGGAATACATGGGACAGAATAATCCCCAAGGATTGTAAGTGAGGTAATGAAAAGAAAACACTGATAAGATCTGAGACATGAATGTTAATACTGTTTCACTCATTTCTTACACTGCAGCAAAAGAGGCTAAATCTATTTTAAAAGTCAGACACTGCAACTGATATACAAGCCTTTACATATATATAGAAGAAATGATCATTCCATTAATCCAATAAAACACAATATATGTTAGGCTACATGTTTATTCACAATGGAACTTTGGCAAGCCAGCCAAGCAGATCTCTTCTTTGATTATAATACAAACTAAAGTGCTCCACTCCCGAAAAGTCAAGAGAGGCTGCTAACATGCCCAGCAACTCATAGCCAATGCATTTATTTAATAAACCAACTAATTACTCTCCTTCTGGGTTGGGTGGGTGGTTGGGTAGGGGCAGTGAAAGGGGCAGGAAGGTAACCAGGGTCTCCTTGCAGCTGAACTGATTCCAAGGTGACGGAATACTGGAAATGAGTCAATCATCTGTGGCGCTCTCAGTAGCTGGTTCATGATCCAGGCAGGTCCACAGTACTACAGGGTACTGCTGATGACAGTTCTTGGATGCAGACTGATCACCCGGGCAGGCAATCAGCTTCTGGAAATCTAGAGGCTGCTTGCACCAAATATTGTTCCACTCATGTGGAAGGTGCCAAAAATATCCACCGAGACATCACAGCCCTTTGTATCCATACACACCAACCTCCGATGCTAAAAAAAAAGATCTATTTCTGAGTTGTCAAGTTGCCACTGACATCTCCTACTGCACACCAAGTGCAAGTACTTCCTGCACATATGCTGAGTTCACAGGAAGTGGCTTCAGCAGTGACCTGATGACCCGAAAGTCAGACTTTTTTTTAGCACACAGGAAGCTGGCCAGTCTGCATGTTGAAACCAACTCACCCGTTTTATAGCGAATCTGCCTCATAAGAGACTACCTTATGGAAGTGTAAATTGTAATGTATCTTATAATGGGGCTCTTCTGTATCTCCACTACATCTCAAAATAAATAGTAGCGGAGGCTGGGAGATAACAATAATACTTCTATATTAAATAGGGCTTTATCACATTTTCAGATGTCTCAAAGTGCTATTACATAATAAAGTATTTAACAAGGGCATGGAATCCAAT